TATTTAATACCCAGAAGCAGAGAGGAAAATTTTCAAAGAAATAATGCATTTTCACTACCTACTTATTTAGCCCCACCCTAGCACTAGAACCTCTGACCCCAGGGCCATGAATTTCATAATTTTGGTAGAGGACTCATTGCTGATTACTATCATGCAAACAGTTTGACTGCTTGATGTCCAGGAGTTAAGGAGAAGATTTTTAAAGATTGCATTAATTTTAGTGGTTTTGGCCCCACCCCTCAGGCCCCAGGGGGGCAGGGATCATGAAATTCACAATTTTTGTTCCCCTTCAGCCATAGATACTTTAGGCCAAATTTGGTTGAAATTGGTTCAGTGGTTGCAGAGAAGAAGCTGAAAATGTTCAAATGTTAACGCACAACGCACGACGACGGACGAAAACGGATAGCAATAGGTCACCTGAGTTTACTCAGGTGACCTAAAAATAGAAATTTCTGTTAAATACTCTCAATATGCTACTTCTCCTACAGTTTTGGTCTGATTTCAATATAACTTGGTACACAAGAAGACTACACTAAGATACGTAATTCTGTGTATTGGTTTTTGACTGACTAATGTTTGATGAACATTATTGCCTTTGTTAATAAAAATAGAAATTTCTGTTAAATACTCTCAAAATGCTACTCCAAATACAGTTTTAGTCTGATTATAATTTAATGTGGCATGCAAGTAGACTACACTAAGAAGATAAAAAGACTTCATCAGGGATCAATATTCCATTTATTGCTGTTGTAATGTTTCAATTCTCAACTTAAGCACTTTTCTCTTTCTTTGCTATGAGTACAAACCAGTAGAGCTTCAGTCTCGACAGAGACTTCTGGTATAGAACATCGAAGTCGCATAAAAACGTACTCAACACAGTTTGCGTTTTATATTCTTAATTATAGTGAAATACATTTATTTGAATATAGGTGATGCATGTGTCTGGTTTCAATTTCTTTTATTTTATGCGCCCAACATTTAATTGAGGAATTATTAAAATTTAAAAGGGTATCATTTTTGTTTGATTTTCATCCGACTCCAAGTTTTCAAAACATTCTCGATTATCGTTTCTATCATTTTGACGAATGCCTGTTTCATACATATTGAAACGGTTTGATGATCAATACTCATTTCCGTATTTCCTAGGCGACAATTGATGGTTACATCAATGCTTTGTTGTTTCCACTTTGACAGTTCATCCTTGACTCCATGCCACTAAACTGGAAGTGAATATCGCAGTATATATTTGACGTCTATAAAAGCTTGTTGAGATAAGATAAAATAAATAATTGTTCAACGTAATTTGATTCAGTTATTTTAAGTATATTTAAGGGAACTTTAAAAAGTTATCAGTTCTTTTTCTTACTTAAAAGACATTAATTTCTATTAGTTGTATTGTTTGAACTATTTCGGCATGCGCAAGTATAATGAAAAGTAGTTGTTAGGTCACGATATATAAGGTGCTGGTCAGGCGTGAAGTGGTCATCGACGAGCAATCAACCAGTTTCGAACACGCTTTTACCTGTAGCACGTATGACTGAGTCGAATTTTAGCAACGTGGGTGAGGAGCAGGCTGTTCATGCTATGTCTCAAAGTGAACAACCTGGCTCTACACAGAGTTCTGGAGACAATTTTACAACTGAAGATGCATTATACATTTTCTCCGACAAAAAGAGATGGCATAGTAAGATGACAAAAACAAAAAATTGTCTTTGAACTGAATTTAAGTCAAAAAACGATGGAGAAAGGTATTTGACTTTCAGTATTAAGGAGGAACAGGATGCTGCATCAAAAAAAAAATTATCTCGAAAGAATAAGCAATTCAGAATGGCAGTATCTGTCATGGCTTTATCTTGTTTAAGATAGGTTATTACATAATAAATCAATGGTATCAAACAATGGACAATGATCAAGTATTATTGCAAGTGTCAATGAGTAAGCGCCGATCCTCAATCTGGCATTTGGCGCCTACGGTTTGCAGAAACGGAGCCATATGGTGCTGACAACCCTGGAGGGTAAACAGAAGTTGCCAGCGATGGCTTGTTGCAAAATTCTGTAGTTCGTCGGCATGGATTGCAGCCTGGAAGGATCTCTAAAGCCATGACGAGGGACGATGTTGCGCTGGAATCGGAAATGATAACAGCAGAAACACACGAGAAAACTAATAATAATTGAATGCACAATATTTATGCCCTAACATACCTATGATAAAAATACTATATGTATGCATATCCGCGTACGTAACTGAATAGGGTGATGTATATATGTAAGCAGTTTTTATGGATGACTGGTATATGTAAGCAAGTTTTATGGATGATCGGTGTAAAGGAAAAAACTGTGTGGATTAGATGAGGAATATTAATCTACATAAAATGGTGGGGGCGGGTGGGTGATCAAAATCGTCGAGCGAAGAGGATGTGTGCGCAAGCGCATTTAAGGCTTGGGGCTATTTTGGAAATTTGGTTGAGGACAGGGGAGTTATCGCGCTTAGGCTATTCTTCTTCGATAACTGGCATTTACCGCACATGGCGGTAAATGCAATTATCTCGAAAGAATAAGCAATTCAGAATGGCAGTATCTGTCATGGCTTTATTTTGTTTAAGATAGGTTATTACATAATAAATCAATGGTATCAAACAATGGACAATGATCAAGTATTATTGCAAGTGTCAATGAGTAAGCGCCGATCCTCAATCTGGCATTTGGCGCCTACGGTTTGCAGAAACGGAGCCATATGGTGCTGACAACCCTGGAGGGTAAACAGAAGTTGCCAGCGATGGCTTGTTGCAAAATTCTGCCAAGTGGATTGCTGTGCACGAATTTCGAGACAGCAATCCATCCGCCAACAAGTGGCGGACAATTTGGCAAACAAGACATCATGTCTTATGCAACGCAATGATTCTCAAAGCAATACAAAAACAATATGCAGGGTATCATCAATGAATAATGTGGCAAAGCAATATAACACAACATATCAAAGCATCAATCAGCATAACTGGGGGGAGGGGAGAGGGAAGGATGCAATGCAACTCAGTGCAATTGCGACTACTATCATGAATATCGGGTGGTGTGAAGGTGTTTCTTTTACAAGCCATGCACAGATACTGTGTTTTATGGGAGTGTGGGGAAAACCTTTTGACTGGAAGTCAGAAACTTGGACAATGCCGTTTGAATTGTAGTTGTAAAAATAGAATTTCCAAGATCTGATAAATGAACACAATCGAGGAATAATTTGGGCTGATCAATTCTAATATCTGGGTAACGAATGAGGGCCCCATTTAACTTTTGCACAACAAAGCAGCCAATGGAATTATTGATTCTTTTTCTAGATTTCTCTGCAGCTTCGCTCGAAATCATGTAACGCCAGTATTTGCGAGGAAGTATGTTTGACCATACAAGAAGAGTGTTTGGTAATTTTCTATGAATAGAGGCTAATAATGATTTCATGGCTATTTGTAATTTTTTAAGGGACTGAATGCCAATACTGTTGCCACCACAGTGAACTATTAGAACTTGAGGAATGATTTCATTATAGCGATTTAACAAACTAGCAATGTGTTGATCAAGTTGCTCCCATTTTAGTCCCCCAGATCCGGACCAGGTTACATCTATGTTTAAGTGCTCCAGAGACAAGTTTTGGCCAATTGGTGAACGTGTGCAGTAATCTTCAGCTCGTCTGATGATGGAAGATCCAACAATCCATACTTTGCAGCGAGTTCCTGCAAACTTAGCTTACAGTTAGTAAGACTGCCTATCTACAAGACTACAGTATTAGGGCGAACATATGACTTAAAAGCGTTGGATTTCCATCTACCCATGGTTTTGATTTCTTGCTCTGGAGTACCTTGCATATACAATGAAGTTGCAGCCCCTATGCGAAATGAATGGGATTTGAATGTTGATATATCAAGTTTGAGGAATGATAGAGCTTTCTTTAGTATTTGATTGAATTGATAGTAAGTCAAGGGTGAGCCATCCATGTGGCACAGAAACTGTGATGTTTGAGTTTGTGATGGTCTATGGGTCGCGTACTCTAGAATGTTGTGGAATAGGACTTGATTGTGCTTTGTACTGTTAATGTGCATTGTTGTGCCCTTGCCATGCTGATCTGTTTTAGTTTTCCCTAAAGTGATCTGAATGGATGATTGGGATATTGATACATTTTCTATTGATAATGGGGAACAGTGGGTATTTGCCCTAGTGGTGGTTATTTCACCAACTCGAAGTAAAGCAAAGAATGCGAGCCCATATGCTGAGGAGAACAGTAATTTTTCATAATAATTGCGACACACATGTTGCAGCGAGTCTATTAACTTGACTAATAGGGGAAATGTTATCGGGCTTCTTGAATCTTTTCTATGTTTTAGTTGTTTAAAGCCATTTAGCATTTTCTTAACTATGAAAAATTGGCATGGGTCTGGGAAATTACCAAGTTTTATGTTGAAGCTTAAGCCAGCTAGGTAGGTTTTGGCTGTAGAGTATGTTGTCCCCTTTGAGGATAGGTAAGCAATATAGTTAATTAATTGGTCTATGGGAGGGGGCCATACTTCTGTTAAGTTAAATTTTTTTCTAAATTGTGCAAATGAGTCAAGACCTTTCTGGTATATTTCTTGAGTGTTATGAGAGACTGATGCTGAGAGTAGTTGTTCTACTTCCTGCTCAAATGGTTCCAGAATTCCAGAGGAACTTGGCAGGGATAATAGTCTGCATGGGGGGCCAGCTTCCTGAACTTTTGCCACTGAAAACGAGATATGGCATCAGCTATAGAATTAGAATGACCTGGTACATGTTCGCAGCGGACTTGGATATTGTATTTTAATATTTTATAAAGAAAAGGCCTGAGGAGGGACATAACTCTTGGTGACTTTGATGTTTTTTGGTTGATTATCTCGACAACAGCCATGTTATCAATATGCAAGATTATTTTTCTGCCTTGTAGTTTGTGGCCCCATATGTATATTGCAAGGGCGACTGGGACTAGCTCCAGATAAGTCAGATCTCTACAATCGTGTTGTGACCATTCTGGAGGGCCATTGTAGGTAGGACCATTGTGTACCAAATATGACCCCACACCCAAGTGAACCAGAGCTATCAGAGGATATGTGAATAGTGTCTTTATCTGACCAGTGAATATCTGGGAATACAGTTGTGCCATTAAAGTCAGACAGGAACTCGAGCCATATATCTACATCTTCGCGAAGTGCCCTTGAGATAGTGATATAATGGTGTTGTTTGTATCCCTGTGATAGGCTGTCATAAAATCGCCTACAAAAGGCTCTCCCTGCAGGTATTGCCTTAGAAATAAATGCCAAAGATCCAACTAATGATTGCATTTCTTTAAGAGTAATTTTGCGACGCGAGGCAACGTTTTGAAGTTGGGCTTTAAGGGCGTCGACTTTATCTTTAGGGACAAATATAGTTTGGGTGATGGTATTAATCCCTAACCCTAGAAATGTTAAACATGTTGTAGGACCTTCAGTTTTTTCCTCTGACAGAGGAACGCCGAGCGTTTCACAAGTTATGTCAAATATTTGCATGAGGTTTTTGCACACAAGGGTGTTTGCAGGGCCTGCAAAAAGGAAATCATCAAGGTAGTGTACTAATGTGTCAATATTGGCTCGATCTTGAACAATCCAATGGAGGGCTGTTGCAAATTTTTCAAATGTAGCACATGCTATAGAGCAACCGAATGGGAGGCACTTATCGAAATAATAGTTGTTAAAATAAAAACCAAGCAAGGAAAAATCCTCGGGGCGAATAGGAAGGAGTCTGAATGCGCTAGAAATGTCTTTTTTCCCCAACAAAGCTCCCTTGCCTAGTTCTTTTATCATTCTTACTGTCGAGTCAAATGATGTATAATGAACAGTGCAGAGATCTGGGTCTATAAAGTCATTAACACTATTTCCCTCTGGTGCAGATAAGTTACAAATCATACGCCACCCCCCTTGCTTTTTGGGAACAATGCCTATTGGGCTACACTTGATATTTGACATGGGGATATTCTTGAACGGCCCAGCTACTCTACCTAATTTAACCTCTTGATCAATTTTTTCTTGGAGCTGCTGTGAATTTGTTTGTGCAGATTTCATGTTTTTAGATTTTTGATATTCCCGTATACCCGAATAACAAATGTTGAAACCATATTGAAAACCATTGATTAATTCATGAGCAATATGTTGCAAGGGGTAGTCTTTTAGCATTGATTTTAGGATGTTAACGTTGACTGGGGTTGGGGCCAAGTCCCAGAGGCCTTGGTTGGTTTGGGGGGAACCCTCTACTCTGAAATCTGCTTGGGGGCTGGCGGGGATGTTCTGCTTGGGATGGGCGAAAGTTTTCTGTGCGAAATGCCTGACTGTTGTGCCAGCGGCAGTTTATGAGTGGGTGATTATTGGAGCATTTAATGCAAGCATGTTGATAAGTGCAGTATGGTCTTCCGCATGTGCCTTTGTAATTGAAGTCAAAGCATTTTGGCGATTTAGATGTATAATTTGGGGTTTGCTGTGATAGAGTGTTGTGGCCATGAGACACATACAAGAGCCATAATTCTGCGTCGACACACCCCCAGTCGAGAGTATGGTTCCTGGAGCGCTTTAGTCTAAACTGTATGTCATAATTGAGCCAGTTTAAGTTTGATGATCGCTGTGCAGCAGTGCGTATGATGTTAATGTATTTAAGGATTGATTGAATGTGTTCAGGGAACTTAGTCAAGTAAATGCTGCTGAAAATGAGGAAAGCATTTGTCCATGTTTCAGTTGAAGTTATTTTGATTTCTTTATGCTTAGCCTTTAGCACTAATTCGCCAGCAACAAATGCGAGCTGTTGCTGGGGCTCGTCATTTGGTTTGAGAGGAAGTAATTTATGCAAGTGAATGAATGCATTATCATATATGTTTTGTCTCAGGTTGTCTGGGACATGGACGCCCAATGCGTCTGAAACGCTACATAATGAATTTGGTGTTGTTGCACTTGAATTAGATAATGTATTAGTGCTGCCTGAAGTACCTGGAGAAAGCATTGTTGGCGATGCCTCAAACTCTAAGGGGTCAGGGATGTCTATTCCTGAGGAAGTTGTAGGCTGGTTTGATAAGGCTGGAGGTATGGCGTCAGGAGTGACCTGGTTCGGTTGAGTCACGGTGCTTGTAGCAGTGGTGACCTGGTTCGGTTGAGTCACGGTGCTTGTAGGCCTGGATGCTTTGGCCTTTTTGGTGGCAGCTGGAGCTCGGCCGGGCCTGGCATATGGAGACTTTGTAGTCCTTTTTGCACGGAGCATGTTTCTATAAAACAAACAACTGTGTAACTTGTGTTTAACATATACATAATTCATTATTATTATTATTAATTGCTTATATATTTATAAATTTTTACTATTAATGTTTTTTTTTTTTTTGTTTGAATCTGAGATTGTAAGTTATTATCATTGTTTACTAATTATGAATGATCAAATTATATGTAGAGTTAAAGCCCTTTGTTTAACGTTTGGCATGCCGCCATTAACGGATGGTGATGATGAATATTGATCCAGCAAAATCTGCTGACATCTTAAGTGCTGAGGCAAAGGAAACGCCCAATTCGCTTCCAATGCTTCACTAGATGTTTAATACATACCGATGACCGGTGGAACGATACCTGTACAATATAGTAATCCACGTAATGGGTTGCATTTTTCTGTTGACAACTTGGAGGTGATTTTTCTGTTGATGCTGTCTGATCAAAATCGTCGAGCGGAGAGGATGTGTGCGCAAGCGCATTTAAGGCTTGGGGCTATTTTGGAAATTTGGTTGAGGACAGGGGAGTTATCGCGCTTAGGCTATTCTTCTTCGATAACTGGCATTTACCGCACATGGCGGTAAATGCAATTACTCAATAATTTTTTTTTTTTTTTTTTTTCATATATCAACATTAAGACGTCCTCTACAATATATATTAATTTCATGGTCACTTTCTTGCTATTCAAGGGAGATAATATGGTTTGAATTACCCCCCTTTTCTCGAATTGAAAATATTTAAGTAAAAGTCATTTTTCAGTGATTTAGAAATTATATCTATGGAATTTTATGCACTTTATAAACAATAATTTTAAGTTTGAATGTAAATTTTAATATTGTAGAGATATCAGGCATTTCTACTTGGCAATTTTAAAAAATCATGAAAAATTATCTCACGAGTGTTCCTCAAAACAGCATGTTTTAAATGCTTAATTTGCTAAATATGTGACCACCCTTAAAAAATGGCTCAATGAATTTTGATTTTTTTCCCCATGTATCAAAATAAAGGTGTTCTCTGTAACATGTAAAAGTTTCATGGTCACTTACTGAGCATATAAGGGAGAATGAGAGAAAAATTTAAACCCCCCCTTTCCCGATTTTTTTAATTTTTGCTATCTATGGTAGGATAAAGACCAGATTCTCCAATAAACTTTCTAGAATTTTAATATAAATGAATGGCTTTATTCAGAGAATAGATATGTGCATTATTAAATCAATAGGTACATGGTCGGTCAATATTACTCTTTGGATGATCAAGGGAGATAATAATTTTATCTGTGTTGTGTGTGTGAGAGAGGGTGTGTGTGTGTGTTCTAAAGATTATGTTGTTAAGAATGAACATTCTCGCTTAAAAAAAATGCACACAGAGACACATTTAGGAAAAAATAATTAATTTTATGGGAAAATAAAATAGTTTATGACAACAAGTTTAGATATAAGTATTTTATTTTGTATTTGTCATATTGTTATTCAACTCAAGCATCTAGAGTTTACGCGTAATCTATTACCGGAAATGAAACATGACTCAGTGCGAGTAAATCTTCGCTGTTAGCCGCAGTTAACTCTGCATCATTTTGCACACCTCGGAATGCGCGCTTTTAATTGGTCTTTGAATATGTGTCGCCCCGGGATTTTCCAGGGGTCTGAATCGTTTGCGGCATTCCTTGATTGGGCTGCGCACTGCAAGGACGATTTTAACAAACATATTGAACATTTATGCCGAGGCAATCCAAAGATTACCTTTTGGCACCACCGCGGTTTTTGGCAAAACAGCAGATCTCTTATGCTCTGTGATGGGGTGCATTTGAATCCATTAGGAATGCTGAAATATACAAAGAGCATTAGATCTGCCATTGGTATTTGTCATAGACGTGGTTGTTTTTAAGTTTTAATGTATCTAACAGGGCATAACACCCTGACAATATTATTTTACACTGTTTAATTTAATGATGTTGTTTATGGTATTCGGACAATCATTTGACCCTGGACTTTTGTGCTGCTTGTTTATATTTCACAACAGCTGTTGTGTGTACACATTTTATCTGCAATACTTAGCAGTGGTGTGTGTTTATCTCATTGGTTTCTCACATTAGTATGCATAAAGTTCCTGTTATGGGTGACCCTTGCTTATGGTCGCTCACATGTATACTTGACAGGAGAAGCATACGTGAGTGTGGTTGAACAATTGCTCATTTGATTTGTGCCTTTGTTCTTTATTATGTTGCATAAAATATTATGCATTTACGGTTGCTCACATCCCCACTCTGTTGTATATTGTGGGTCGTGAGCCCTCTATAAGCTCGTGGCACACGGTTCTCGGGTCTTATTATTTTCTGAATATTGCCTAACCTTGAAGGTATTTACAGGTAATGGGTGCTAAAAAATTGAACAAAACTTTATTTGATTGTGTCTACACTTTGTTTAACTTAGGTGACCATGCCTAGAGGGAGAAAACGTGTGCAGGTGGCCCCGCAAGACCAAAATGGATCAAATACTAAACGGGCGCGTTCTTCAAAGAGGGCAGCTCCGCCCAATGCACCTAACCCGTGTGTCCCTGAACAACACTCATCGGTTCCCTCTCAGCACGTAAATGTTCCCTCCGCAGACGAAATTGCAGAGGCCCTTCTTAAGAAAATTCAAAATCCTACTGTTAACGTTATTAATGAGCCCGTTTCGTCAACCCAGTCTGTGTCCGCTCCTTCAACAACGCCTGGCATCGACCATCCAAACTTACAAACTGTCACTAGCCAGCCGCGCAGTGTTACACCTATGCCGCAAGATCTGCTGTCTTTAATTGGCAACCTGTCCTCACGCTCTACGATCAGCCAACCTGTACCATCAGCCACCAGTGACAATAATTTACCATCTGTTAGTTCTGTCGAAGGTAGTACAACAATACCTGTAAATTTTAGCAACATTTCTCTTGTCAAAAATGCTTTACCATTAGCTTATCATGTAAGTGACAAACTTAAGAATTCCGTTTTTGATGATGTATATGTAGACTTTGCCGCCTTGTTACCACACGTCAAGCGACCTGACGAAGTGCATGATATTTCGTCAGGTGTCAAACTTCTAACAAACTGTCATTCAACTCCTATAAAGACACTGTTCAATGTCCATCAATGGAACAATGCATTTGATATTTACATGTCCCTATATATTACAAAATACCCATCGCTCGCTTTAGACCTAATAAAGTATGGAAACAACATCAGAAAATTGGCATTAGACTTTGGTTTCCAGGCGGCAAGGTTCTATGACGAAGAGTTCAGAAAACTTCGTCAAGTCCACAAACTCGAGTGGTCAGTTATGCATGATGAGTTGTGGCGGGTGGCAACAAGCCAGAACAAATCTGGACTTTACAACCTCTTCTCTAATTCAAAGCGTGGCAAAACCCCCTTTCTTGGCAGGATCCAGCAGAGACCAGAATACCCTAAAGGTTTCTGCTGGAGATTCTGTGCTACAGGGCAGTGTGGTTTCAAAGAGTGTAAACTCAAACACCTGTGCGTACACTGTGGCAAAAAGCATGCATCAGACACATGTACCTCTGCGAAGAAATCACAAATTTCCCCAAAATCTCAAAACACCAGTGAAGTGTGATAGGTTAGCGTATCATCTTAATGGCTACAATAAATTTGACAGAGATTTTTTACTCTCGGGTTTTTCCGTTGGATTTCGTATTGGTGCTGGACCTTCCATACAGTCAGTTTTGAAATGTAGAAATCATAAAAGTGCTATTGAGAACCCCGAAATTGTCTGTGAAAAAATAAATAAGGAAATAAAATTAGGTCGATATAGAGGTCCTTATGATCAACCCCCCTTTCCAAATTTTGTTTGTTCACCTTTAGGTTTGGTTCCTAAAAAAGAAGTAGGAAAATATCGTGTCATTCATGATTTGTCCTTTCCTAAAGGAGCGTCCGTTAATGATTCAATTCCACGAGAGTTCTGCTCTGTCTCTTACGAAAACATAGAGACTGTTATCGGTTTAGTTCAATCGCATGGGTTTAATTCGCTTATGGCAAAAGCAGATATTGAGGACGCTTTTCGTTTGCTTCCTATCCACCCTGATGATTATCATTTACTTGGCTTTGTATGGGAAGGTAAATATTACTATGACACATGTTTACCTATGGGTTGCTCATCTTCATGTCAGCTTTTTGAGAAATTCTCATCAGCACTCCATTGGGTTTTATCACAGAACTTTAGGGTGGTAGGCATATCACATCTTCTGGATGACTTCTTCTTCGTCGGTAAACAAAATACAAGTGTTTGTGCACACTCGCTAGATCAATTTTTAGAATTATGTAACGATATTGGTGTACCGATTAAGAATGAAAAAACTCAGTTACCAACGAAAATTATTACAATTTATGGAATAGAAATTGATTCCATGTTAATGGTCGCACGTTTACCAGAGGAAAAAATTGCTAAAATATATGGTATTTTGCATACTTTTAAGAAAAAACGCAGCATTTCTTTACGAGAGCTCCAGTCACTAATTGGGTTATTAAACTTTGCCTGTAGTGTTGTTATTCCAGGCAGGGCTTTCCTACGTAGACTGATAGACCTTACAACCGGACATTCTTGTCCGACATACCGCATTACACTTAATGCTGAAGCTAGGTCAGACTTGCATGCCTGGTCTACTTTTATTGATAATTTTAACGGAAAGTCCTGTTTTTTATTTGATAAATGGGTTTCATCAGATACAATTAAATTATATTCTGATGCTGCAGGTGTGCATGGAGGTTATGCAGCTGTTTTTGGCTGTAAATGGTTCACTGGCGAGTGGTCAAATGACATGGAGTCTTGGCATATTACTGCCAAAGAACTGTTTCCTATAGTGTTAGCTTTAGAATTGTGGGGTCATTATTTAAAGAACCATAGAATATTATTCTTTACGGATAATGCCGCCGTTGTCGATATAATCAATAAAACTTCATCAAAGAACAAAATAGTCATGAAATTGGTGAGGCGTTTAGTTTTAGCCGCATTGAAATATAACATCTTCTTCCGAGCTAAACATATCAAGGGGAAACATAACATAATTTGTGATCTCCTTTCTCGCTTTCTTTTTCAGAAAGCTCACAAATTGGCACCATGGTTGGCCCCTTGTCCAACCAATATCCCAGATCACTTCTTGATAGTTTAGTTACATCCCTGTTAAGGGCATCACTGTCATCCGCCACATTTACATCGTATAACAGATTTGTTCAAAATTATGTGCAGTTTTGCAACATTTATTTCCAAGAGTGTCAGGCATTTCCATCTTCCCATGTGATGTTGACTCAATATATAGCCTATTTGTTTTTGAAGGGTTATAGCCCATCCACAATAGCAACACACATGTCTGCGATCAGTTTTGTACACAAAGCCAACAGTCTGAATG